CGAAAAAGAATGTCAATAGGTAAACGAGGCACCCGTCCGAACATCAGATAAAAGGGAGCATATCCTGTGGTATCGTTTATGGTGCAGTTATACAGGAATGAGAGAGTCTGCAACCGTCTAGGCCAATCTCTTTTTACATCTGGTGACAAGACTCTGATCATATTTCCAAGGGTTCTGTTAAAGCGTTCTACACTTCCATTACCCATCGGGTGATACGGTGTGGTATGTGACTTACTAACCCCAGAAACCCTTAAAAGCTCACGGATTAACTTGCTTTCGAAACATGCCCCTTGGTCACTATGGATCCGCTCTGGAAGACCATAAACGCAAAAGTACCTGTCCCATAAAACCCTGGCAACTTGTTTGGCGGACTGGTCTCTACACACAAAGGCTTGTGCCAGTCTTGTAAAATGATCGGTTGCTACTAAAACGTCAACAGACCTGTTACTGGAATCTTCCGCTGACCAGAAGTCTATGCATACAAGTTCTAATGGTCTACTTGTTGAAATGTTCTCCAAGGGGGCTCTTCCAGAAGGATCTGTAGTTTTGCTCACAGTGCAGCGGTAACATTTGTGTACATATTCTCTTAGAGTTCCTTCCATGTTCAGCCAAAAGAATCGCTGCCTGGCCAGGCTAATTGTCCAAGTCTGTCCTTGATGGCCACAATCATCATGGATTCCTTTCAGAATCACTTCTATCAGGGACTCAGGGACAACATACTGATAGCGTTTTGTTTTGGACAGTTGATCACGAGACACTCTGTATAACACACCATTCCTGACAACCAGTTTCTCCCAGTGCTTCAGATATCGAACAACAGCCACTGACTCCTTCATTCTTTCTCTTCTAGAAGGTCTACGGAGGCGCTCAACATAATAGAAGACTCTAGACAAGTGCTTATCACTGAGTTGTTTTTCACGCAGCTCTTGTTCAGTATATGCTGGCAGTGTATCCTGTCCCACTGACATCACTTGAGGTAGGTGATCGATGGAAGTCATGGCTCGAGCCTTGGCACCAATGTTCCACTCTAAATGTGAATCTATTATGGCAGAGACCTCATCCCTAGGAATCATCATCAGTTCATCCATTTTTTGAATATTGTGACTATACATTTGTTTTGCGTTAAGGACACTTTGCCTTTCTCCTGAATCACTTGAAATCCTAAAGGCATCCTGCACTGAACCTGTTGACATTCCTCTAGACTCAGCTAGAAGGGCACCATAAGGCTCCTTGAGCAGTCTCTGTACAATCTCAGCTTTGACAAATGGAACCCGGCTTAGGGCATCCGCGACAATTTTTTGGGGACCAGGCACATACTTGATGTTAAAGTTGAAGCTTGCCAGTTTAGCCACCCAGCGCTGTTCACAGCAATCAAGTTTGGGTTTTGTAAGGATATGGGCTAAAGGATTGTTGTCAGTGAAGACAGTGAATTCATGGCCCTTCAGCCAATGACTGAATTTATCGCATATAGACCACTTCAAGGCCAAAAACTCCAAACGATGTGCTGGATAGTTTTGCTGTGAGCGAGAAAGGGACTTACTGGCAAAAGCCACTGGCCTGGCCTTGATCTCCCCCTCTGGAACCTGTGAGAGCACAGCTCCAATCCCGTCTAAGGATGCATCCGTTGCAAGCACGAAAGGGCGATTAAAATCCGGATGGGCAAGGACGACGCTTTCGACCAACAATGTTTTCAACTTCTCAACAGCCTGGACCTGAGCTTCTGTCCAGTCACTGGGTTTCAGTTTTTTATTTGAACTAACATTACCCCGTTTCCCTGGAATTCTTGCTTTTGCCTTCTGTCCTTTCAAAAGACTATAAAGAGGCTTTGCAACTGCTGAATAACTTGGAATGAAGTGTTGGTAGTAATTCACCATCCCCAGAAATGATCTTATTTTCTTCTGAGAAGGAGTTACTCCATCTTGCTCCATCAAGTCCAAACTGCTCATTTTAGAGATGCTCTCAACTTTGCTTGGGTCTGTGGAAACACCAGTCTGATCAATTATGTGTCCAAGGAACTTCACCGATCTTCTCATAAGGTGACATTTTTTTGGAGCTAGTTTAAGATTGTACTTGCGGAGCCTGCCAAACACCATTTCCAAGCGATCCAGAGCAGTCCTTTCATCTGGGCCAAAAACAATCAAGTCATCCAGGTAACACAAGAGACTGAGGAAGTTTTCATCCCCAAATATACTGGTCATCATACGCATGAAGCTCCCAGGACTGTTGCAGAGGCCTTGAGGTAAGCGATTATACTCAAAAAGGCCCATGGTTGTCGTAAAAGCGGTAAACTTGCGGTCTTCTTCGTGCAATGACATGTTATAAAATCCGGACGTTAAATCCATTGTGCTGAATAAAACATTTCCGCCCAGAGCTGCCAAACAATCCGCCTGATGCGGAAGAGGATGTGCATCCTTCAATGTCCGTCTGTTTAACCAGCGGAAATCTGTACATATCCGCAGGTCCCCATTTTTTTTCCAGACCAAAACGAGAGGAGAAGCATACTCATTGGTAGATCGCCTAATTATTTCCTTTTCCTCCATTTCAGTCAATACTTGTCGGAGTTTTTGATACTGACTGGGTGCTACTCGTCTGAATGGCAGCCTGAATGGTCTGGTGTCTGTGAGATGTATCCTGTGGACAAAGCCTTCTGCTTGCCCACAATCAAGATGGCTACGAGAAAAAACATCTTTGTAACTCAGAATCAAATTAACCAGCCGCTGCTTACATTCATCTGAAATGTCACATGAGTCAATGTCTAGACTGTCCAGATTAACTGACTTGAGTTGCTCACTCACAGGTAACACATCCGCTGATTCATTGGATAATCTTGTTGTGCAGTTTGCCAATGAAGGACTGACAGTATCAGAATGATCAAAATCCTCAAGTGCAATGCATGGATAGAGGTCTGCAACTTTGGCGTTTCTCTTTAATAACACAGGTCTGCCTGACGTGTTGATGAGCTTTAAGGGGACCCATCCATCTCCCCACAGAGACGTGACTAGTCTAGCCACCATGACACCTCTGGGAGCAGAGTGAGAAGATGTTGGCTCAGTCATAACTGCACTCCCTGGAGACAGAACCACATTTCTAGGCAATTTTCCCCATATCAAATACTCACAGCCTGGTTCAAGACAAACAGCTGAGTTGCATCTTACTGTTCCCAATTTCTCAGGTATGTCCTCTCCTCTCCAACGGTTCAATCCAGCCAGCATTGCCAAGAAGCTTTCACACTCTGGGTCTGAGGAAGTTGGTCTAGATACTGCTTGCCAAAATCCATCACTCAATTTGAAGTATTTGAGAATGTGTTTAATAACATTAGTTCCAAGTATCACCTCATCATGTTGTCCAGGAACAACTAAGGTAGGAACTATCATCTGTATACCATAAACTTCCATGGTAAGGTTAAATGACGATTTTGGTTTCACATGCAGCCCTCCACAGCCTACCAGGGTAACATCAACAACAAACTCATCACATTCATTTACTGCACCAGCTGATCTTAGAGTCTTCTCAGCAGATTCATTTATAGTGCAGGCCATTGAGCCGCTATCCAACATTGCATTCATTGTAACCACCTCTCCAATCTTCACTGGCGTGTAAAAGAGACTGTCATGTCCACCAACAACATTTGTATTCTGGTAAATGATTTTTGAATTTTCACAGTTCACTTCGGCTGAAAGATTAGCAATTTGAGTCTCAAAATCATTAGCAACTTGGGAGTAATATTGGAGATGACCCGCACTGCCTCCCTCCAAATACGGGTCTATTAGTTTCCCTCCTGTGGTGACTGGACAGGGGGTTGTTTTGGGCACTTGTTTTTATTGTGCCCTGGGGAGAAGCACGCAAAACACAGTTTGTCCATCATGCAATGAGTCACAGTGGTGTGTTTACTGTCATTACAGACCCGGCAAGCAGTTCTGACAAAGTTGCGCCGCTGTCTAGAGTCACGCCTGGTGTTGGAGACATCACGTTCTTGCACTTTATCCATGAGCTGCTCCATCATCTCAACCATGCGAGTCAACAACTGATTTTCAGCTGGTTGGGTGGATTGAGCCATCATTGGGGCAGGAGGCGTGCAGGAAGAGGTTTGAGTCTGTGACTGGCAGGAAATTTGTGTAGGTCCTGGCTGGTGGCAAATTTGAGTATCTGTAGACAAGCAGAATGTTTGCTTTGGAACAACAGGTGACTCCGTCTTGGAGTGATCATACATATCATGTCCACTGCTAAACATTGTAGTCGTGTGGCTTCGTAAATTTATACTAGTATTTCCTCTGCTCCTGAATTCTCTTTGGTAATCATCAATTCTGCATTGTATTTCTTTTGCATTCCATTCTTGAATGGGCTTGCATCTAAACATGTTTGATAAACAGGGGTCAGGGCAGAATTTAATGAACATCCTCGTTACCTCCTCTTCGATGTTGTCCAAATGCTTTCCTTGCCTTAACAGCCCCTCATTTGCCAGGTCAGCTGCTTTGTTCAGCCGGATCCAGTAATCTACAGGATTCTCTTTAGGCCCTGGGAGGGTGGCATAAAAATCAGCAAGTGGCAGGCAGGAGGGGGCTTCACTAAAATACTTCATGAGGATACTATAAATCAACTCAGGCTTTGCTGTGACATTAAGTGTAGCATCACTGCGTATACTGATTTTAACAATGTCCTTTGCCTTTCCAGCCAGCCTACTCATTATATCCCCGCTTGATCTTGAATCGGGCACATTTGTCTTCTCAGGAAAGACTTTGTCCGGTCTACCCACTCCTCAATGCCATACTTATCAGAGCCATCACCCCTAAATGTGTCGTGCTCTGACTTCATGTGTACTGTTAATTGTGGTGTCATCAATGTATGTGTACTCTGTTCTGTGTGTATTGGTGTCTGAGTATAGCTGGATGAGCTGGTCTGACCCTCAGCATTTACATTACCCAAACCTGCAGACATCAGTTTTGCTACTATTGACTCACCAATTTGTGAACCCAATTGGCCTATCATGTCTGTACGATGGTCAATGGCTACTCCATCCACTCCAGGTGTTGAAGTGTAGGGACCCTCACAAGCAACCCTCCCAACTGGCGTACTATTCACAGTTCGATTTAAACCCCTGCCATGGGCAGCTTGGAACTGTGACTGTCCAACCATCTGGCTGATACCATCACTAAAAACACCACCCTCTGAATTGTCAATTAACCATGCACCTCTACCCCGAGGAGTACCCATGTTATATGTTAAGTCTAAATCGTTATAATAGTTGTGTTTTTCAGCCATCTCGTCGTCAAAATTGCAGTTAGACAGAAAAAACTGACCACAAATAAACAATTACAGCAACAGCGTTAAATATGGCACTACTTGCAAAGATATTTGAATATAACTGTAGTCAAAAATTGTCTAAAAGTAAAAAAACAAATTTTTCATATGTCCATGCGTTGTGTTTTCAAAAAAAAACGTGTGAAAAATAAAATATGTTGTGAAAAATAGTGTATCGTCCCAATCACAGTGTGTGCATGTGTAAATACTGTTCACGTCTGAAGAAACGAAGGCTTGATCCGCTGATGAACTTGACACACGCAGCAATCACGGTCGATCTGTGTTGAACTGATCGGAGAATCCAAAAGAGTCACGGCACCAGTGTAACGGGTGTCCCATCAGCAACACACCCGTCCATAATAACTCAGGTCTTGGACACAATAAAGGAAGCCATCCACCATTGCACTCAATCAGATTTATTCTCTCCGTCTGAGATAAAACTGAGATAAAACAAAGATATGTAATGCAGGAAAGTGCAGCATTAACATTCAGCTCTCTCTCTTTCACAGTCACACCGATCTCTGTGAATGTACATTTTCTTAAACTCAAAAACATAACATATAAAAATTTATAAACAACATACCTGAGATAAAACAAAGACATGTAATGCAGGAAAGTGCAGCATTAACATTCAGCTCTCTCTCTAAAAGGGAAAAATACAAAAACTCTCTCGTTGGGCTCTTGTATGAAACTTTAAAATGCATTAGCAATGTAATGCTTCAGCTAGCAACACACAAATCATCTAAATCGTAAAAAAAATAAACATTAGGAAATCAAAACATGAACTAGTGTATTATTTAAACAACATACACATCTGTTTCGCTCGATGAAATTATATAAAATTGTTTATATCATCTTTTTTTTAAATTAGTTTGCGAGAGAGAGAGACGAGCTGCGCTTACCTTTCACAGTCACACCGATCTCTGTGAACCTACGGTAAGCGCAAAGGAACAATATTCTCCTGCAATTTATTTACCACAAGGGGGCACTCAAATACCATCTTATGTATAATGCCTAATTTCATGTCATTCACTCTGATGAATTATATCATCTTATCTTTTCAACTCCGTTACATTAGCACTAAATTCTCTGAGCACAAACAAATTTCTTGGAATATATAGCCCTTTTTCGTATGCATTGCCTCGTCTTGTTGAATCGCTAAATACCTCCACTATTTAATGTCGCTTGGAACAAAAGTGTCCACTAATTGTATGCTTCGGCCCAGTTTCGAACAGGAGACCTTTAGCGTGTAATGCAAACATGATAAACACTACACTACGGAAACCAATAGGCCAGTGGTGCTTCAAGTATTTATAGTCTTTTTTTATAGAGCTGTCTTGTACGATCTGCATCGTGGAGGGCCAGCAAACGCACTGGCCACCTGCTCATGCACAACACATAGCTAAAAGAAATCAGATTCTACGCAAGTTTGCGACACCGCGAGGGGAGGTAAACACTGAGTTGAATTCAAACTTCTAGCCTCACAACGCTCTGCAGAAAGAATGTTTTCAGTGAACATCAGTACTCAAAAGAAGCCTGATTTGACAATCGTCGTAAAAGCCAGAGGTTGTTTCCACCCAGTTTCGAACTGGGACCTTTCGCGTGTAAGAAGAACATGATAACCACTACACTATGGAAACCTTCAGAAGTACCACTAGCAGATAACCCTTTTTGATTGGGTGCCTGTTGACGATCATTGCTGGTGCGGCAGTGTATGCTATTATTTTCTCGCCAAAAGAAGAGCACTGTTTCTGCTCGGTTTCGAACCGAGGACCTTTCGCATGTTAGGCGAACGTGATGACCACTACACTACAGAAACCCCACAAGTGCTTTCCCCAGCGAAGTTAGGCGTGCAAGGATAAAACAAGGTGTACGCGTTTGTCAATCAAGCGGACAAAGCCAACTCAGCGTGACAAGCTCCCTGCAGGTATTAGGGCCAATTTACAATCCGGGCCCAACACAGCTGTACAGGTCCTAGCGAAATGTCCCCTTTCGTCACAATTGAAGCACCTGAATTCTGGGCATTCCTTCATCACATGGTCTGAGCTCATGCGTAGTCGACAGGTTTTTACCTGATTGGTGTGCATGACTCTAAAGTGCTGTGCCCCTTCAGCCGTCTCGATTTTGGTACTGTATGGTAGGGAGACCGTCTCTTCTGGAAATCTGTTTTTTACAAACCTTGTTCCATCTTCTATGCTTGTGCCTGGATACAGTCTTCTTTTAGTTTTAGACATGGGGAAAACTCCCCATCCCTCTAGCTTGCTTAAAATTTCTTCATCAGCTAGGTAAACAGGCAGATGCTTGAACGAAACAACATAGTCTCTGTTTTGTAACCTCCGTACTTCAGATTTCACTCCTTTAATTGTCAATCCATTGTCTATTAAAATTTCGGTGTCATCTTCAGTCTCCATCGTTACTTCATACTCCCTTGTTTGTTTGGGTCTCACCGCCAGAATTCTTCCTTCTCCAATCAGCTCCGTGACTGCTTTGATTATATCAAACCTTCTTGCATCTTTTACATTTTCTACTTCTACAGTTACTGTTGCTTCCTTTGTGCACACTCTTCTTTGTATCTCTTGCTTATCCTTACCTTTTTCACCTCTTCGTTGGCCGGGCTCTTCATTTTATTTATCTCTTTGTCTGCTGTCAAGTCCATTTTTTTATCTCTTCGTCTATTATCCAGCCCATTTTCTTTATCCTTTCGTGCAAGTCCCTCCATTTCTGTGTCGTTGCCAGGTAATCTGTCCATAATTAAAAATAAAAAACACAACATAACCACCCTTCAGGCAGCAAAATGCTGCTGTTAGGTGGTTTTTAAAGACAAAAATAAAACAAACAAACAAACCACTCAAGGCCAATAAACAAAAAGGTAGACAAGCAAAATGGGGAGAGCCTTTCTCTCCTCACTGCTGCCAACTCACTTCCTGTTTGCTCTATAGCGCCCTCAGGGTGGTGTGGTCGTAAGCAATGACAGCTGTCAAGTGTTGGCTATTGAAACTAGGTGCAGCCCCAGGAGCCGAGCACAGCTTAGCTGCCTGCTGCGCCAATGAGGTGGACAGCCGGAGCTGGGCAAGCTGTGAAACACCAGATTCCATGTCATGGTACTGCGGTGTGGCTCCCAGGAGACAGCTCCTGCCAAACTTGCATGTCAGGATGGCCGAGCGGTCTAAGGCGCTGCGTTGAGGACGCAGTCTCCCCTGGAGGCGTGGTTTCGAATGCCACATCTGACAACCCGAACCTGTGGCGATGCGCTCTGGCTGAAGTCTTTAACTCCCTGCCACCATGTCCGACTGATACAGTAACACTGACAAAGCGCCGCATCACGCGGGCTTTAATGCAAGTACACCGAAAGGGAATCAAAATAATTGTCCTGGGATGGTGTTGATTTTTAAGGTTTGCAGGGCATTTTTTTCGTCAAATCCTCGTACAACGTCAAGTCATGACATTTGACAGATCCACGACCTTGTATCGTGCATCATCCAGTGAGCAGAGAGCCAATTGAGAATGCGCGTAAAAGCAAATCTGAATGTTTCCGCTCAGTTTCTAACAGGAGACCCTCCGCTTGTAAAGCCATCGTGATAACCACAGGAGCCTCCGGTTAGGGTGAGAGCACTGTCTTGTGGTGCCATCGCAGAGAGACTGAAAGTCACTTTCCACAATGTTTTCATTCAATGTTCTACGCTGGTGGAATCACTTTGCCATTCCCACTCAGATTACGGATACACTGGTCTCCTTCAAATGACAGCTAACACCCATCTCTTCAGAGTACACCCGAACCCCGGTGAATATCCCTCTGTCTAAAGAAAATGACACTCCTACTCCAGCACTAAATTCCCTGAGCACAAACAAATTACTTGGAATATATAGCCCTTTTTCGTATGCATTGCCTCGTCTTGTTGAATCGCTAAATACCTCCACTATTGTATGTCGCTTTGAACAAAAGTGTCCACTAATTGTATGCTTCGGCCCAGTTTCGAACAGGAGACCTTTAGCGTGTAATGCAAACATGATAAACACTACACTACGGAAACCAATAGGCCAGTGGTGCTTTAAGTATTTATAGTCTTTTTTATAGAGCTGTCTTGTACGGTCCGCATCGTGGAGGGCCAGCAAACGCACTGGCCACCTGCTCATGCACAACACAAAGCTAAAAGAAATCAGATTCTACGCAAGTTTGCGACACCGCGAGGGGAGGTAAACACTGAGTTGAATTCAAACTTCTAGCCTCACAACGCTCTGCAGAAAGAATGTTTTCAGTGAACATCAGTACTCAACAGAAGCCTGATTTGACAATTGTCGTAAAAGCCAGAGGTTGTTTCCACCCAGTTTTGAACTGGGGACCTTTCGCGTGTAAGGCGAACGTGATAACCACTACACTATGGAAACCTTCAGAAGTACAACTAGCAGATAACCCTTTTTGATTGGGTGCCTGTTGACGATCATTGCTGGTGCGGCAGTGGATGCTATTATTTTCTCGCCAAAAGAAGAGCACTGTTTCTGCTCGGTTTTGAACCGAGGACCTTTCGGATGTTAGGCGAACGTGATGACCACTACACTACAGAAACCCCACAAGTGCTTTCCCCAGCGAAGTTAGGCGTGCAAGGATAAAACAAGGTGTACGCGTTTGTCAATCAAGCGGACAAAGCCAACTCAGCGTGACAAGCTCCCTGCAGGTATTAGGGCCAATTTACAATCCGGGCCCAACACAGCTGTACAGGTCCTAGCGAAATGTCCCCTTTCGTCACATTTGAAGCACCTGAATTCTGGGCATTCCTTCATCACATGGCCTGAGCTCATGCGTAGTCGACAGGTTTTTACCTGATTGGTGTGCATGACTCTAAAGTGCTGTGCCCCTTCAGCCGTCTCGATTTTGGTACTGTATGGTAGGGAGACCGTCTCTTCTGGAAATCTGTTTTTTACAAACCTTGTTCCATCTTCCATGCTTGTGCCTGGATACAGTCTTCTTTTAGTTTTAGACATGGGGAAAACTCCCCATCCCTCTAGCTTGCTTAAAATTTCTTCATCAGCTAGGTAAACAGGCAGATGCTTGAACGAAACAACATAGTCTCTGTTTTGTAACCTCCGTACTTCAGATTTCACTCCTTTAATTGTCAATCCATTGTCTATTAAAATTTCGGTGTCATCTTCAGTCTCCATTGTTACTTCATACTCCCTTGTTTGTTTGGGTCTCACCGCCAGAATTCTTCCTTCTCCAATCAGCTCCGTGACTGCTATGATTATATCAAACCTTCTTGCATCTTTTACATTTTCTACTTCTACAGTTAATGTTGCTTCCTTTGTGCACACTCTTCTTTGTATCTCTTGCTTATCCTTACCTTTTTCATCTCTTCGTTGGCCGGGCTCTTCATTTTATTTATCTCTTTGTCTGCTGTCAAGTCCATTTTTTTTATCTCTTCGTCTATTATCCAGCCCATTTTCTTTATCCTTTCGTGCAAGTCCCTCCATTTCCGTGTCGTTGCCGGGTAATCTGTCCATGATTAAAAATAAAAATCACAACATAACCACCCTTCAGTCAGCAAAATGCTGCTGTTGGGTGGTTTTTAAAGACAAAAATAAAACAAACAAACAAACCACTCAAGGTCAATAAACAAAAAGGTAGACAAGCAAAATGGGGAGAGCCTTTCTCTCCTCACTGCTGCCAACTCACTTCCTGTTTGCTCTATAGCGCCCTCAGGGTGGTGTGGTCGTAAGCAATGACAGCTGTCAAGTGTTGGCTATTGAAACTAGGCGCAGCCCCAGGAGCCGAGCACAGCTTAGCTGCCTGCTGCGCCAATGAGGTGGACAGCCGGAGCTGGGCAAGCTGTGAAACACCAGATTCCATGTCACGGTACTGCGGTGTGGCTCCCAGGAGACAGCTCCTGCCAAACTTACATGTCAGGAAGGCCGAGCGGTCTAAGGCGCTGCGTTCAGGTCGCAGTCTCCCCTGGAGGCGTGGGTTCGAATCCCACTTCTGACAAACCGAACCTAGTATCGTGGATCATCCAGAGAGCTGATTGAGAATGTGTGTAAAAGCAAATCTGAATCTTTCCGCCTAGTCTCTAACAGGAGACCCTCCGCTTGTAAAGCCATCGTGATAACCACAGGAGCCTCTGGTTAGGGTGAGAGCACTGTCTTGTCGTGCCATTGCAGAGAGACTGAAAGTCACTATCCACAATGTTTTCATTCAATGTTCTACACTGGTGGAATCACCTTCCCATCCTCCACTATTGTATGTCGCTTTGGACAAAAGTGTCCGCTAATTGTATGCTTCCGCCCAGTTTCGAACAGGAGACCTTTAGCGTGTAATGCAAACATGATAAACACTACACTACGGAAACCAATAGGCCAGTGGTGCTTCAAGTATTTATAGTCTTTTTTTATAGAGCTGTCTTGTACGGTCTGCACCGTGGAGGGCCAGCAAACGCACTGGCCACCTGCTCATGCACAACACAAAGCTAAAAGAAACCAGATTCTACGCAAGTTTGCGACACCGCGAGGGGAGGTAAACACTGAGTTGAATTCAAACTTCTAGCCTCACACCGCTCTGCAGAAAGAATGTTTCCGAAGCCTGATTTGACAATTGTCATAAAAGCCAGAGGTTGTTTCTGCCCAGTTTCGAACTGGGGACCTTTCGCGTGTA